TTAGGCGGCAGTACGAGCGTTAAGAAAGTCATGCCAAATTTTGTCTAATATTTTGATTGGGCCCAGCAGCAGAACATTTTCTTGGCCATCAAACTTCTAACTCGGCACACTTCGGACGAGCAGCAGGTGTTACTATATTACCTGGAATGGCAAGATGTCTGCTCCTTTGCTTGTCAATTTGCAATTGGCCATGCTAATGGCATTATGAATGTGATTTCATTTTTATTGGAGGCAGCAAACAGAAGCCGGCAAGTGGCGGGGACTGTAAATTGAGTAGGAGCCTCTAGGGCAAAGAAAAGAAACTGTGCAAGAGACTCCATTATTTGACGATATAAGTGGCCAAAAGGAGAATTTCCAAGCCCGAATTCAAATAAACTGATTGATTGAATGGTTTACTAACTGTGCATTAAGGCCAGATGTTGTTAAGTTTCTGCTGTGTAGTAGTATTTTCTTTGGCAGATTGGAGAATATATTCAACACAAGTGTGACTCTTTTCATTGCTTAGTAACTTGAGAAAAAATGTTTAAAAGAAGATAATTAGGCAAGCGAACAAAAAAAATAATTGAAATTCTAATATTCCAAATTCCTTTTAATTGGAGTTGTTAGAATTCTTAAATTAAAACTTGAATCAAAAAAAAATTGTTTAAGAATTTTAAATCTCGTTACAAAAAACATGGAACTATCCAACGCACAAAACAGAAAAAATATTTATTCAAAATACTGCACTCTCTGTATCCTTGTAGGTTTATGGGGGGGACGATAGCCTGATAGGGAAGTAAAGTCGCAACGACGCTACCACAGCTGGTAGAGCTTATCAAGCATCTTGGCAGGCAATCTGCACGTTTAAAGTATTCATTTAACTGTATTTTCCATGCATGACCACAAATTTGCAACTAATGAAGTAAAATTGCTTGGTCGGTCAGACCAACAGACAGACAGACAGACAGATGGACAGACAGACAGACAGACAGACAGATGGACAGGCAGACAGATTGTAAATTTGGTGAGACAGTCTTTGTTTGTCGGTTGCTTGGTTGGTTGGTTGGTCGGCTCTTTGTGGCCAGTATTTAGAATAACATTGTTGAACAAAGCGAGCCTATTCTCTGACCCGCTAGCTTTTTTAATCACCCAACAGACCTTGACCCAACACACACACACACACACACACACACATAAAACAAAGAGACACACACACACACACTGAAGCACACTGTAAGCGGCAGAGGCATGAGCCATTTAAATGTATCATTGATTTCTGGCACAAATTTTAGTACAAACTTTGACCTTACATGGCTCATGTCGTAAATTAATCAAGACTCGCAGCAGTCGGGCAAACGATTACAACAGAGTCATCAAACGGTGGCAAGCAGGCAGCCAGGCGCTCAAATGGCTCAAACACCTGAGCACGCGCTCCAACAACAGCAACAACCACAACATCGGGCAGACAACAGACAAGTTGATTTTCCAGGCCGAGACCAAAACTTACAAACACATATCCAAAAAAAATCAACAACAACAACAATGAAAAAAGCCCACCATTGTACGTCATTTTTCAAAGCCTGAAACCTGAAATGAAACTCATGTCGAAGCACAATTGTGGCGTTGTGTCTGGAAGGCGTTGGAGGGGCGTGCCGAGGGTTTGGGGCGGCTTTGGCCCAACTGGCTGCGCACGTGCCAAGCACAACTTTTGCGCAGATATATAGTTCTAGCTGTTGTTGTTGTTTTTGTTGCGCATACGCCCAGGCAGCCCAGAAAAAGGCAACTTCAAATGACTCGAAGCGCTTTTGTACCTTTCTGTGCATGCTTAAACAGCGCCTCTCATTTGAATAGGTATAGTTACGCTTTGTGAAAAATAAATTGACAAAATTACTTGCATTAAATTTATTTTATAGGTTTCACATTTAAATAGATACGCAATATTTTAAGAGCAACCACTATTATAAATAGTTGGCATGTTTCTACTAAACAAAAAATTTAACTCTCGGATAACATTTCATTGGCTTCGAAATATTCGTAAATTAAGGTACTAATAATGAAGTATTGATGAATCAAAATGATGCCTATTTGAATAATTTGATTTTAAATCCTTATTGTATGTTCATTTTGCTGGAAAATAAGTCTGTCGGAATTGCTACTTTTTCATATAAATTTGTATATTATTATTATTCCTTTACCAATAAATAAAATCACAACATTTATCCTCAAATCAAGTACAAGATACTTTTTTGAACATAATCGAATCATCTTATATATATACTCGTACTCGTACTCATACTCGTTCTCAAAGTAATTAAATAGAGACAAAAGTGAAGATAATTACATAATTGAAGGATATACATATTAAATATGATTGAGGTTAAATGTACTTTAATGAAGATTATGTTCAATTAATTTTGGGATACATAATAGGGGAATAGGGAATAATAAAGTCATATTCAAGCTTTGAGTCAAGAATTAAATGTAGTTAAAGTTATTAGAAAAGCAGGAGTATAAAAACCTGTATAAATGGAATATGAACGCAGTAGCTAAATAAGCTAATCTTTATAGCAAGAAATACAAAGAAATATAATATAAAGTATTTAGATACATTTACATTTTAAAAAAGTTCCTAAATGGTCAAACAAATAAGGCAACTCATAAGCCAGATAAGACTCTGTTTTGCTAATTTGTCAGTTTTATATAGATACAAAATTTTATAGTAGAATGGCTTGGCAGATTCGAAGAGACAGTCGAATGAAAGCAAGAAATGGAAACATTTCTCTTAAAAATCTCCTCGAAATATTTCCTTTTAACAAATATTTATTTATATTTATTTATTCGATATACGTATAGTATAGTAATATAGTATGATTGGTAAACCTAGTCAGATGGTTGGCACTGTGTATCTGGGAATTGATTCGACTGTGCACTGCGCAGTGGGCTGACTAAGAACTTTGCCATGATTTGTTTGATTGTCCATAAGAAAATGGAGGCAAAAAGCTTTTGAGGAGTAAAAGTAATTTATTTTGTTTAGATTTGTTTTGTGATTTGTCAGACAGTTGCTGTTAACCCTTTTAATTAAACGAAAATGAAAAGTTCGAAGAAGAGTAGAGCCTGAACCACTTTTTCTGACTTTGCCTCCGGGCTATTTGTCTACTCGTACCTATACTGGCAACGACTGTAGGTGCTTAAAGTGGGCGTTGCTGCTGCCTCTCAACCTTTGTAATTGTTGATGGAGCCACAGCGATGATGATGCAGCTGATTTGCCGCCAAGACTTGGGAGAGAGACTTGGGTTGCGCCTGCGTCTGAGTCTGAGTCTGGGTCTGGGTCTGCGTCTTGAATATTTATGGCTCGTGCCAACTGTCGTCTCTTGTTACGGCGCGCACCTACTCGTAAATCTCGTACAATGGTGGAAAAAGCTGTCTGTAATTTATCAAAGCATCTTTGGCCAACCAGTTAAGAAGTCAAACAGTCGAACAGTCAGTCGAACAACTCAACTCAATTCCGTTTCGAGCTCCAAGCACTCCTCTGGAAAAGACGCGTCATTTGAAAATTTATGAAATTATCTTTCGAGTGCTACTGGAAATTTGTTTGTTTGCACTTAAACTGATTTTATAGACGCAGCCCCTTCGCATCGCTAATGACACGACAAGTTCGAACAGCTCTATGGAAATTTACATTTGACTCGTGCTTGGCGCGCTTTTGTTTTGTTTTCTTGTTTCTCTCCAAATTTTACAACGAATTTGATTTCTGTTTACGGCTCCGTTATGTTTGCCAGGTCAGCGTGTTTTTGTTTTTTTTTTTCTCCGTTTGGACCACGCGCTCCACATTTTTATTGCAGGTGTTTTCTCGGGCATTGTGTGTCCGTCTGTCTGCCTGCTTTAAGCTTCTGTTGTCAGCGAATTGCGCATGCGCAGCAGTTCTTAATTTATTTTTCTGCTTATTGTTGTTAGTCTTTTTTTGTTGTTGATTTTTTTGTTGTTATTTTTTTTTTTGTGTCTCTGCGCCAGTGGCGCCCACGCCGAAACTGTGTTGCATGGATTTTGTTTGGCTGGCAAAGTGTGTCAGCAATTAGTTATACCTCTTATTTATGGGTTCTACTGAGCCATTTGTTCGAATTTAATTAATTTATGTTATGTTAATGGCGGCAATTAAACTAGCGAAACGAAAATCGAAGCTGTTATGTTTCTAGCCTTGGAATACATCGAACTTTCGTTGCATGTTTGCATCGATGGATAAATTAATATTAAAAGATAAATTATTCACAGTAATTGACATGTTTGTGAATTAGATGTGACAGATTAAGTAAACTACCAGCCACAATTCCAATTCAGATTTATCATACCATTATGATGATAACTAAATATTATTAAAAGAAATTAAAAATAAAAGAAAACCTCAAAAAGCAAAAATGTTGATACATAAAAGATACAGATAATATAAACACTTTCTACTCTTCTGGACCTCCCCAGGTACTAGCCGGATACTAAAACCTCATCATAAATGAAATAATTAATCGTCAAGTTTATTTAACAAATTTAATGATTGTCCACGATGGACAGTTTAAATAAAAACATTCTGATAATACAATAGAAAAAAATCTACTCTTACAAAAGAATTTGTGTATTATTTGCGCACGTTCTTGAAATCCTTTACCCAATCTCTAAATAATTTTTAAACTATATTCTAGCATAACTAAATATTTTGAATATATTAGAAATTTAATAATATATTCAAACTTTAATAACTTTGATATTACTTTTCAAAGATTCAAATGCGAAGCCTTTACAATTATTTTATTTGTTGTTTATTTTGCAATAAAGAGAGATTAAGTCCCAGACGCGATAGCTGAACTTAAAAACTTTAACAGACTTCTGAATATGTCTGTCTATATAGGGAATACAAATGTTGTTCAAAAAGAGACCCACAAAGCAGGCATTGTACTATCAGTAAGTAAGTGCCATTTACGATCAAATTCCGACTCACTTCTGTCGTAAATTCGTTCAATATTGAAAGTCAAGAACAATAGAATATTGGCTCGGCATAATGTTTTCAAAATTTAATTTCTTCCTCCTACTGCTGAGTGCGGTCAGCTTTGGACGGTCGCTTTCGGAGCGTAGAATTTCGACTACAGTAGAAATGCACCACTCTCTGGGCCCAGAGTCGGATCCATTCACATACCGTGGTAACATCACAATTTTGACTCTAAACTTTGGGGTCTTCAGCGCAAACCAAGTGCCGCTAACGACCACTGAACTGGAAAAGTTGGGGGAACTCGCTAAGGGAAATGATTTCTATCGAATGCAAGCCACTGTTGTGTATCCGAACGGAATGAAACAGAATTTCCTGACCTTTAGTAAGGCCTGTGGTTTACTTCAGTCGGACCTCAATGATGTACTTTGGATAACACTGGACCCATCTGGTTTCATAACGGCAATTACGCACGCCTCTTCCTCCGGTTCAGTTGATTGCAGAACCGATGGTCAGATCGAAGCACAAACACAAGAATTCACAACCGATGTAATCGTTAAGCATGCCGAGGTAGCCCCAATGCCTGATACGGCCAGCTTTATTGAGAAACTGGAACGCGAACGAGAGGCCCGGGAGCGTGGCGAGTTTCGAGATGACAGAGGTTTCATTGCAAAGTACTGGATGTACTTTGTGCCTGTCTTGCTGCTAATCATCTTATCTGGTGCCACACACCAAGAAGCACCTAAGTAGACAGCCCGAACGTCACAGAAAGCATTTAAATATTTAAGACTGTCGTTATAAGCCACTAGAGGTGATTAAAAATCAATTCACACTAATTACTCGCATGTGTTAATCGTTATATAGACAATAGACTTGTTAAATGTATCAATATATTCGCATTAATTATTCACATTTATTAATAAGTCCCCCATAGCAGAACACTCTCGTATATTTGTGTTTTATAGCACATTCGTAAAAGAACTCATATAACAAAACAGAGCCACAATTCTATAGATGGAATCAACTATAAAATAATGTAGTATAATGCCTGTGAGCCACTCCACATTAGTCATCTCAACGCCTCGTCCAGTGGGGCAAATGGCCGAGCGACCACTAAGACCGCAATAAAGTTATCGCCTCAATAAAATCAATCAACTTTTCGAGCTGCCTTTTTAATAAAAGCGAGTATTCGTGAAAAATAATTATTATATAAAGCTGCAGCAGCTCGATTTCCGCACACATGTATATATGGAGTAGAGCTCTATGGCTTGATTGCTCGATCAGCAGCAATAGGCATGACCACGGGCACGGGCCCTATGAGTCATTCGGCGTCGTTTTTGGGACAGCAAGTGGTCAACAAGAATCGAACCAAACCCATAAATAAGCGCAAATATAAATAATTTTTCGTTCGCTGTTTTTCGCGGCGGCTTAGAGTTTCCGTTGGGCTTTATTTGCTCAGCATTGCTGTCTTTGCTGGCATGAATCTACCTGGGCCCCAACATCTAACAAAGCAAAACAGGCCTCGTTCTCTACCTACTACCTCTACCTCTAGGTATGTACCAATACGAATATCTACCTGCAGTCGCGATGACTCATGCGCCAAACCAAAGTCAATGTAGCCCCATCTTCAAGTTCATTGCAAACACACAGCGGCCACCGATCGTAGCGATCTGTTAAATAACAACAATTTAGAGCTTGATATGATTAGCAAGTTGTTGTTGTTGTTGTTGTTGTTGTTGTTGTTGTCACGCCAATGTACAGTGGTGTGAGTAATGAAAACCGAGCGCAGTTCCAATAATTTGACTATGAGGAGGAGTAATGTGTCTTTTAAGTTTATAAATTTCTAATCCAACTAGCTTTCTTGAACTAGCCTTATAATTGAATAAAACTGTTCGAATGCTTGCAAAATGATCGATTCTTTTAACAGAAGTATTTTGACAAAGATCTAATTTTCTAAAATAGTAGAAAAACAAGCCCAAAACTACGGCCATGTAAACAAAAAGTTGGCACCAAAAACGTGCCGGCTAATATTTCGAAAATAAATGCGAACGTTATAACAAGAAACCTTACTACACAACTTTTTACTTTGATTTTTCAGCGAGTTTGTGTGCAAATTATTAGCTTGTCTGAACACCATAATTTCGAAACATACTCCAAAAAGAAGGTTAAATATAAAGATTCTGAGTAGCTTGTCTGAACACCATAATTTCGAAATATACTCCAAAAAGAAGGTTAAATATAAAGATTCTGAGTAGTAATAGTTAAAAACATAAAACCCGGATAATAACAATTCGCTGGGCTAAACATTCGTCTTGAATGTTGATGTTTTCAATCTAGAAGTGGAAACACGACGCAAACTTTTAAAAATTCTGGAAAATACTAAGCTTTAGTTCAGAGCATGAATTATAACCAACAAGAGAGAACGCTACAGTCGAGCAAGCCCGACAGTGTAATACCCTGTACCCAGGTAAACTTCCGTCACTGAGTTATATGCGCCCATAGCAGCAGCAAAAAGAGGAAGAAGAAGAGCGAACTTGTACCTGCAGTTTGTGGGGGTTGTACTGGCGAGAATTTGTTTCGCTTATAACTTTTCTTAGAATTGACCGAATTTGATAAAATTTAAAATTTTAAACAACAGTAGATAATTATATAAAAATTATGTGTGCAAAGTTTGGTTTAGGTAGCATTTGAAATGTGGACGCTATTGACGAAATTCTGTAGAGGGGGAAGGGGGGGAAAATTCCAAAAAATAAAATAAACTCGTCCTTACTCGGACCTAGGAGAATCTGGATGCCAACTTTGGTTATTCTAGCTTTTATAGTTTCTGAGATCCTCGCGTTCATCCAGACGGACGGACAGACGGACAGACGGACAGACGGACGGACATGTCTAGATCGATTTCTCTCGTCATGCTGATCAAGAATATATATACTTTATGGGGTCGGAGATGCTTCCTTCTGTATGTTACATACTTTGCACAAACCTAATATACCCTTTTTACCCTACGGGTACAGGGTATAAAAATCATTGCTTGTATCACTGTTTGTGGCCACAATAAAATGTCTCTCAGAAAGTTCATAATTTGAAGCGTCTGCGATTTCGGTCCTATTTCTTGTTGTTGTATCATGCAGCTTGATTTAAATTTATAATATCTGTTTAAATGTACTATATCTATTTAAATTTGAGCCCACTGTGCATCGTCAGGAGACACCATCAGACCATTGACCACGTTCAGGTAGTTTGTTGTTGCGGTTGTAGTCAAAACAAAATTCGCATACTGCGACCCTGGCCCTTTTTTTTGCAAAAGTCGCAAAAGCTTCTGCAGCTCCCAGCTCTACCTTCATTTCACACATTTTCCACCGATCGTGCGTCTTCTCCGTCCGTCCGCTTGTCTGCCTGTCCACCCGTCTATCTACCCGTCTGTTTGTCTTGGCCTTTTAAGCATGACTCATCGCTGACTTTGAGATTGGCCTGAGCAGGGCGCTTGGCTTTTGTCGCTGGCCGTCGCATCGAGTTACATATGGCAACCCAATTTTTGATATTTGTTGCTGTCGTTGCTGTTGTTGTTGTTGTTGCTTTTTGCAGTTGCGGCTTTTCGAATGTTTTTTAAATGTGAATCTTATGTTTTGCTGCATTCTTTTGTTGCTGTTGTTGTTGTGGCTTGGAAAGAGAAGAGGAGGGCCATAAATGTTCAGCTCTTTCTTTTAAATATATATATTTTTATAGGCGTTGTCTTTATTCGGAAATCGGCAAATTATGAGCTCGGTGGCTTTGTTGTTTCTAGGGATTAATTCTGATTATTGCTAGTAGCCCATTTATATGGCTACCCATTGAATTTCATAATTAAAACTGATATAGCTGCAAGACCGGACGCATCAAGTTGTCTTACTTGTCACTAAATAACTTAATTTAAGTAGGCACCTAGGTTTTATTAATGATATTACGAGCAGTAGTAATAGCACAAGAAGTATGTTAAAATACTCATTCAGAAGCTAGATTTATGAAACTCTGATTTTTTCGTCTTATACTTTGATAAATATTATTTTTCAATTATATTTGTAGTTAACATAGTTTTACAAATTAATGAACTATTAACTATTACTATTACTATTATTTAATGCTGTGCGAAAAGTTCAGCTTCTCTCAAATTATAGAATACACCCTTTGCTTCACTACCAATGGCTCCGAAGATCTTTATTGTTGATTAAATCATACGAGTAGATGGGCTGCATTATAATTGGATTTATATGACTAATAAATATTTATTAGTTTGCAAATTGCTTAGAGATTGCGTTCGTGATTCTTAACTGCACGGTTAGGGTCAACTCTAAACTCTCTAAAAACTACATTATTTTGAACAAAAGTTGTAGAAGTCTTTCAACTGCTTAATTCTTTTGCAACAATTAGAGATTCTTAAAAAAAATTGAAGTTAACTCTAAAGTAGTCTTTCTTCTGCTCAATTCTCTAGCAAGAATTAGAGATTCCTGAACAAAATCACAGCTAAGTAGTCTTTCTTCTGTTAAATTCACTTGCAACAATTAGAGATTCTTAAACAAAATCGAAGCTAACTGTAAAGTAGTCTTTCCATAGAGATTAGAGATTCTTAAACTAAATCGAGGCTAGTCTTTCTTTTATTAAATTATCTTGAAACAATTACAGATTCCTAAACAAAATCGGTGCTAACTGTAATTTATTATTTCTTCTCTTCAATTTAATTGCAACAGTTAGAGGTTCTTAAACAAAATCGCAGCAAACTGTAATATTAAAAAAATATGGGAAAATCTGTGAAAAATTAGTTATACTGCAATATTCATGTGTAGCTTAGAAATATGACAGCCAAGGGGCAGGCAGTTCCAATTCCGCTCACCGCCAGCGCTGAAATAAAATAAAATTGATTTCAAGTCATGTCTAAATCAATGCACCCTCAATAAAACCAATTGCGCAAACAGCAGCAGCAGCAGCGGCAGCAACAACAACAACAACAACAATGCTGACAATTGATGCGATTTTTATATGTGCACTAACTATAAAAAAGTAATTGGCGAAGGAGACTTCGCTGCGCGACTGCTGGCTACTAATTGATTTAAATTGTATTATTGAACATTGTTGTTAGACATGAAAGGCAGTTAAGCTGGCTTATGTAGCTATACCGAAAATAAGCACGGAATCGAGCCAAAAAAAACAACAACAATACTAAAAAAAAAGCAAGACAAACTGTAAAATTTGCCGCGCTGATAACAGACAGAAAATTTATTACAAATATACGACCGAATTGCACAAAAATTAAATGAATTGTTAATTGCCCACGTCGCTGTCGCTGTCGCCGTCGCCGTCGCTGCCAGGCCTGAAGTGTCGGTGTTGGCCAGTGGACGGGCGATTGGTCAACTTGTTTACACATTGCCCGAAAAACGATAGCGCGAAATATTGCCATTACGGACACATGGACAGACAGGCAGACAGATAGACAGACAGACAGAGGGGCGGGCGGGCGCACTGACAGCCCACAGCCAACACTTGTGGCACTTTATGAGCGGCCGGCCAAGAAGTTGACATCCTTGGCACGAGTCTCAATTTCGGTTGCGGCCATTCGCGCTACAGATGAAAATTAAATATTGACAAATGCACCGCAGCCGACTGTCGATCGTTCCTTCCCCCTCCCCCCCCCCCCCCCACGCCATCGCCAACACCACTCTACAATTCTCGCTTTTCATTCTGAATTATACAAGACGCTTGGCGATTGAAGGTTGCAAATTGTTGGCGTTTCGATTGCCGTTACATGAACGTGACCAGCTTGATGGACTCGTACATATTTATTTGAACTATCGCAGTCTATACTTCTCAAATGAATACCGACTTATATATAGTACATTCTACAAATTGCTGTCAAACTTAA